GAAAAGCAAACATGTTAATTTGGTTCTAGAAAACTTGGAGTGAGTATTATTTTAATGGCTAAAATATTTGTTATTTATTTTCTCTCTTTCATTACTTTATACTAATTAAAAGTTATATTATATTGAATTTGTTTTATAGGAATCAAAGAATTGTTTGCATTTTATAGGAGGAGTTTGTTGATCATATGGTTAATTTTCTAAACAATGAAGATTCTAATGCTTTACCTATTGTGGTTATTTAATTATGTAAAATGAAAGCATTTGGTGATATGATTCTTTATTTATATTGAACTCCTTTTAATTGTGTGATAGTTATTATTATCACTCAACAAACTATATTTCATGGTTCTTTCAAGAACTTTAAGCATATCAAATGCTTATAATGGAACAAAGTTGTATATCAATTTTAACCTAAAAAAGACTATTAATTACAAGAATAAGTATATTTTTTAATTATTTTTTATTTATAGATGCATCATTATGTTATATACGATATTTTTTTATTTTTGTTAACTTATAAGCTATCTAATTTGTGGTATAGGATAAATGTGAATGATGCAAGTATAAGTCAAGTATTAAATCAGATGTCTTGGTACTCTTTTATTTCAATGGAAGATGAGTTGCTCCAAGCTCAAAGAATGAGCATACATGAAATAATTAAGACCAATTATGTATGTTTTGTATTAAAATAATGAAGTGAAATGCAGATAATTCTTTTTAAAATCTATAAAAATCATAATTTGAAGTTTCACTTTGAAAATGTTGGATTGTTGTTGTTCTTGCCCAAGTTATTGAAATTGAATATAAGAAGAGATGACAATATGACTCATGTAATAAGCGTTTCAAGAAGCTCAAAGAAAATCGACATAAGTTTTTTTGTGAAAATTGTTAGAGGTATATCATTCCTACTCCAAGGTATAAATATTACTACTAATAAACTATTCAATTTAAAACTAATTTAGTAAAATTTTTAGTGGATTTATCACCAATTTATTTTTCTAGATTTAAGCTGCACGTTAATGTTATGGATTTTACTAGATCTACTTCTTTTACAATATTTGAAAATATATTATGATAGTTCATCGAAAAGTTTGTAAAATAATTAAAAATAGAGATGAATGAGGTGGATTGTGTTGATATTGGCTTCATTTAATTTTTTTTTATATTTGTTTTAATCTATAATATTTTTAAAATAGTTTTCTGTTCTTATAGAAAAATGCGAGTAATATATTTTCTCTTGAGATTTATACAATGTTATTCAAGTTCTTTTTATTTAAAGTTGAAATTATTCAAGCAAATTTAGATGCCAATTGAGTTTCATACAATGTTAAAAGACTTGCTGATAGTGTTGATCTAATTGATTAGTTTAAGTCATTGCATGATATTAAAGTATATTTTTAAAATTATTAATGATTAAAATTAAGGTGTCAAATTTTGTTTTTAAAATAGAACAACTAAATCTTGCATATTAGTGAAATGATGATAACAGTAAGGTAGAAGGAGATTCGAAGGATACTTTATCAACTCAAATTGCTGACAATTTGAAGGTTATAATTTATTTTGAATAAATTTAATCATCTTCAACTTAAAATTCCATTTTAATTGATAAATTTACTTATTGTCAAATCTCTAAAAAAAAAAAATTTGTATTATGTTTGATGCATGAAGACTTTAAATGAAAGTGTTGGCTTAACCATGAACAATGTTGAAGATGAGCAAATAATTGATATTACAAAGTTAGTAAATAAATTAACTTCAAATGAGTAACAATATTTTAAAAAATATTGGTTTAAATGTTAATTATTATTTAAATTATGTTAGAATTCCCAAATTGTTTATGTTAAAGTAACTCCTGCTGCCAAGCAACGCTACAAGATAGTAATGAATAAGGATGAAATGAGACTATCAATTCTTAAGGAGTCACAAACACATTATTCTAATGGGTGTTCCTATTATGTTATTAAGAAATATAGATCAATCTTCTAGTATGTGTAATGAAACTCGATTAGTAATTACTTTGATAGGGAACTTATATCCTTGAAGTTAAGGTTATTTCTGAAAATAATTCTGGTTAAAAGGTATTTATACCAAGATTATCTTTGACTCCTCCAGATAGTAAGATACCTTTTAAGTTTCAAAGACGACAATTTTCAATTGCTCTTTCTTTTGCAATGACAATCAACAAAAATCAAGGTCAATCTCTTAAGCATGTTGAGATTTTCCTTTCAAAATCATTTTTTTCTCATAGTCAGTTATATATAACAATCTCTAGAGTAATCAATTAAAAGGGATTAAAGATCCTTATATAAGATTGTGATGAAAAAAGTACAAAAACTATTATAAATATGGTGTACAAGAAAATCTTTTAAAATTTAAATTAAGTTTATTATAAAAATATTTTTTTTTAATTAATGTTAATATAAAAAAAATAACTTTATAAAATTATATATTATATTTTTTCTTTCAAATAATTAATAATTTTACTAGTAATAATATTAATATATACTAATTAATTTTAAATTTTAAATAGTTTAAACATAATCATAAAAATTTTATAAAGTTATTTTTCTTTATTTTAAATTAATAATTATAATTATTTTAAAATTAAATATTATATATATATATATATATATTGATTAATTTGGATCTCTCTTAAATAACTTTTAGGTATCAATATATATACAAGAATAGATTTGTTTCACAGCAGTCCATTGTCGTCCAGCGGTTAGGATGTCTGGCTTTCACCCAGGAGACCCGGGTTCGATTCCCGGCAATGGAAAATTATTTTGTCTGTTTTATTGAAATTATTTTATTTTTTCAATTATAGGCTTTACTATTATCCCTATAAAACAGCCAATAGGCCCAATAATGAAAGATAGTGGTGCCCTTCAAACTAGCAAATTGATAGGAGCTCAATCAATGGCCCAATCATCCGTGGATATGTCTTATTTGCAGTTTATGAAATTATACAAAAAATAAAGGTATAAGGTTGAAAATTCAACCTATCAAATAAAAGGACTCTATTTTGTTGCACCCTCTTTTATATATTCACACTATTTTTTAATTGTAACTTTTGAAATTTAATTTCCAAAATAAATTGTTACATTCTAAAAGTTAAATTTTGGGAATGAATATATTTTGCTTTTTAAATATGAAATTACATATATGTAATATTGAGATTGTGGTGCAGATGAAATTGTGAGTGAGTACTTAGCTAGTAAGTGAGTGAAGCTCGTGAAGAAGAGGGTTCCTTCAAATCGATAGCACAAATTATTTTTAATTTTTTAATATTTTATAAATTAATTAATTTATTTTGTAACAAATAAAATTTTAAATAAATTGTATTAGAAATTATATAATATATATGTTATTATTTATAATTAGTTGTTAAAAAATATAATAAATAAAAATTATAGTAATCTATAATATGTATTAATTATTAAATAAATAAAAAAATTCTAATTTAATAACTTGATAAATTAAGAGAAAAGAATAATATATATAAATATATAGTTTAGAAAAAAAATAAAAAACATGATAATGAAAAAATATATATAGAATGTAGTAAAAATATTAAATAATTAATGTAAAAGAAATAACAATTTTCATATTTTGATAGTAGATTGATATATAAAAAAATCAGTGAAATAAACAAATATTAGATATAGTAAATACAATATTTTTATTAAAAGAACATATACAATTATATTATAGAATAGATAAAATATGGAAAGAAAATAATTATAAACATATTTAAAATATTATATTCATAAAAAAATTAACAATAAAATATAATAATTATGTCATCGAATTTATTTAAAACATTACATATTTAAAAAAAATTATGATTTAAGAAACAAAATTATTAGTGAATGATTATAATAAATTAAGAAAATAATGATTTTATGAAAATTAACATAACATTGAAGTAAGAATGTAGTAATTAATTTGCTAAAAAATAATATATTATTATCTTTTACAAATTTTATAATTTATCTGATTTAGTTGAAAGGATTTTATAAATAAGGTATATATTTGGTTTTAACATGCATTTTATTCCTAAACAAATTTGTTTAAGCTACGTCAACTTGTTTAAGAAAGATTAAATGCACTGGACCAAAAATACTTAAAAGTAAATTTAAGAGTTATTTTTATCGACAGTTAATTTGAGTTTAAAGTTTAAAACTTAAACACACGTTAATTTGTTGTTATTATTTGTAATCAATGTCATGCGAAAAGAAACTTGTGAGAACTATTGTCAGAACTAGTATTTCTTTCAATCCAAGAAATAAAATATTTTTGAATATTTTTTTTGCCAACCTTTAACTTAAGAACTTTTACAAACTTTTAAAAACTTTTTTTTACATATATATCCTTCGTAATTATTGAATCGTTTAAATTTGTCAATAATTAATATGATAATGAAATTAAACTTTAAATATGAGTAAACTTTAACTATTGTGAGGGAACACTTTAATGAAATTAAGAAAATAATGATTTTATGGTTTAATATGAAGAATTGCAGAAAAAAATTTAGGTGTGATAAAATTATGTATTTGTTTATTTTTTGTAATTGTAAAATTTGATATACAAATCAAAGTTAGTGCATGAAAGTATGATTTGTTTATAATTTAAAGTAAATAAAAAATTATATATAATATTTAATTGAGTGCATGTAATTATATTTATTGCTACATATTATAATTGTTAAATAATATTTAAAAGTTGTTAAATTGTTAATAAAAATAAACAATATAATAATTAAATGAAATAATTTTTTAGGTTAATTTTAAATTTTGAAATTTTTATAGTTAAATAATTGTAATAAAACCCATGTACTAATAATGAATAATAAAATGATTAACTTAATAGAATTTTTAATTTATTAATTTTAACGTACATAATTTAAGTTTAAGTTGACAAATTTAATTTTAGATGACATTCTCTTCATTGCGGAGTAAGGTTTTAAATCTTGACTCGGATGATGGTTCTTTATTCAGGTATCAGTCTGTTCACGTATTGGAGCATATTTGGGATGGACGTGACCACCCAATTCTGAAGGTGAGAAGGAGTCATTTCATACCGGCTGGCATGGAGGGGGTTCTAGTGGAGATACTTCCTCATCTTACTTTAGCTGGATTTGCTGGGGTAGCTTAGTTGGCATGCTTTCCTATTGACCGACATTTTATTACAGCCTTGGTAGAAAGATGGAGGACAGAGACTCATACCTTTCACATGCCTCCTGGAGAGTGTACTATAACTCTTTAGGACATTGCTATTTAGATAGGGCTTCGTATAGATGGAAAGATAGTCATTGCAGCTGTAAGAGGTAATAAGGCACAAATTGTGGAGGACTTGCTTGGTATTAGACCACCTACTGATGCATTTATGGGGAGCAGTTTGAAGTTGAGTTGGTTGAACCAACACTTTACACATGTTGCAATGCATAATCATAATGATGTACAACTTACTCGTTTTGCTAGAGCTTATATTCTGAGGTTAATAGGTGATTTCATGTTGACTGATCATTCCTCTAGTAGGGTCCCAGTTAGGTACCTTCCATTGCTTGAGGATTTTACTATCACAGGATAGTATAGTTGGGGAGCTGCAGCATTGGCATTTCTATATCGAGAGTTATGCATGTCGACCAATATTGAGCGTTTTGGTATTGGAGGATTAACCCTACTACTTATGATGTGGGCATGGGATAGGTTTCCATTTTTACAACCTAATAATCCTGTCTACACACGACTAGATCTTCTTTACGGTGCATGGTATGTCTTGAATGATTGTATTTGTAATTTAGGAATTACTTGTCAAACTTGTGTCACCATGATTTTAATTTATACGTGCGTGTTGCAGGTGGTTAGTGAGTCAGAGTTATAGTAGAGTAAAGAGAGACCTCTCTTACTACAGATATAAGTTTGATCATCTGAAACATGATGAAGTATTTTGTTAATATACATTGATACAACATCTACACAATGGGTTAATTAATATTCACACCAAATTTACTATTTTGCACAACTTAAAAAATGCAGATTGTATGACAACCATATAGTATGAAGTTGATGAATTCTTTGCCTGCCATATGCATTGAAGCATCGAATATTTGTAGGTCAGTTATGCCACTTATATGTTTTCAAATTTGTGAGTGGCACCAGCCTGACCGTGTAATGTGACAATTTGGGATGGTTTAACATATTCCTCGTGTTCTATACCAACCTGACCAGCTACATGACATTACTTTAAGAGGGAAGACTGATGAGAATTGGTCGGCTAAGTTCAGAGGCATAGTAGAGCTATGGGACATGTGTCAGGCCTGGGTAATGACTAATGATCCTCAGATTGAGTTGTTAAGTTCTAACTCTGAATATATACGATGGTACACTACTCACACCAGACGATGAATGACCAGGGATGTAGCTGTATTTGCATTACTTGTAATTAATATGAATGAAAATACACACTATTTGATTGTACTTATATTTCTTATTTGTTAAAGGTTTATATTGTGTCATTACAGGGAGATGCTTATGAAAGAGCATATTACTTGTGTAATGATGGTAAAGACTCATTTTCATTTGAGGAGATGAACGGGTTATGTGAGACCATACTCTCGCTACAGAATGAGAAGGAGCGCATATTAGAGCCTGCTTCTTCGTTTGATTCAGAGTGAAAATTCAGCTAATCCTGCCATTGACATTGGTCATCCTGTAGACCATAAAGAAGGAAAAGGTTTGCAACGCCGTCAAACAGAAGTGAAGGTAATACATTATAATATTTCTTTTAACCATTTTACATGTTGTACTTATGTTCTCACATGTTCCTCATGGGACAATTTGCAGGCGACAGAGTGGTCACTTCCGCTTTTGCCAGAACATAGAGACAATATCTATTATGTCCCACCATAGTTTCCCTTCAACCATTCCCAGGCCACATAAACATCTTATTTTCATGCATCACAGTTCACTTCACAGCCTCCTACATCTCCATTTAGCGGTAGTCAATATTATGTCCTCGAGGGTAGCCTTTACATGACACCTCCTCCATATGAGCCATGAATCTTTACACTTGATACACCAGCTATAAGAGGTCATCAGAGTGAGCAGGGATGGGAAACATCATTAGTCTAAGTACATTCGAAGCATGGCATTGATCTTAATGCAAATTTTATTGTTGCTGATGATGCGGAGGCACAAGAAGTGCGTCAAAACCCTCATCATGAAGCACGAGATCGTCGTCGATAGTGCATACTCACACCTCATGAGGCAGGGTATGCGGACCAATCCTTGGATTCAGATTGATGTCTTGTTATTTATGTATTTATTACCTTTATGTTGCACTTTTTATTAATATTATTGGAACATGAACTCTATCCATAATATATTACTTGATATATTACCTAAAATAGTGTTATTTAAAACATTAACAAGGACATATGTGTTACACTTTCATTGACATTAACAAAAAGATACATTAATACATATGGTAACATTAACAACATAATACGTTAATACGTTAATATCTTACACCTAGTCATGATTACGATCATCATGTTGAAGACATTGACGTTGGTTATGACCAGGTTGTCTACACAACCTACATCTTTGTCGTGGTTGTGACTTGACCCAATCCATTTCATTCCTAATTCGAGTAGCCTTTAGTTTTCCTTTACCTCGTGCTCTTTTTACATCTGGTACTAACTTCCACTCAGTATTTTGTAAAATATTATTTTCATTTCCAAGAGGCCACCACTGAGATGAATATGCATGCACAATATACTGTAAAGTATAAACAGGATTCACAAATTGCCAAAAGTCTATACTCATATGAGCACAAACAACTATGACATGTGAGCATGAATATCAAAGAGCCTTAAATTTCCCGCATTCACAAGAACGTGTGGATAATATGACTGTCTATTTATGACTACCCCTTTGTATCACTGGATTAAAAGTCTCATCAACCTCAAACCTTGTTCTTTGTATGTCATACCGCCGAACTTGATGTGAAGATGCTTCTTGTTGATTTTTTTTTATAGCTTCCATTAATTTCTAACAGTATCTTCCTCCATTGTTAACCTCATGCATTGTAATTTCACCACACTTCACAAAATATTCTACCAATCGTGCATACGTAGCTTTAACCAAGGTAATAATAGGGAGGTTTCTTGCCTCTTTCAAAATTTTATTTACTGACTTGGACAAATTAGTAGTCATGTGTCCATAACGACGTCCTTCATCATCATAAGTCAAGCTCCACTTTTTCTTTGATATATTATCTATCCAAGTCTAAATTTCAGGTGATTGTGACCGAAACGTATTAAGCTTAGATTCAAATATTTGTTTCGATGGTGTATATCCTGCATTTAACAGACAAAAGTAGAATGTAAAGGTTAAATATTCAAAATCTATTAAAATTTAAATGATTTCACATTGGTTAAATACATACCTAATTGAATTAGTTTTTCCTTCAACATAGTATTTTTGAATCGTCGATTGAAATTACTTACAATGTGACTAATGCAATAAACATGATAAGCATTTGGAGTAGGTATGTAGCTTCAAGTTTGTAAGTTATAAGTTTCAAATTTCAATGCATAGAGTAATAAGTAGGTATGCAGTCAATTTTATAATAAGTAAGTGGAGTCAATAAGAATGACTTTATAAGTTCTAAATTTTAATGCAATAAAATATTATTTTAATTTGTAAGTTATAAGTTTCAAATTTCAATGCATAGAGTAATAAGTAGGTGTGTAGTCAATTTTACACACACACACACACACACACACACACACACACACACACATATATATATATATATATATATATATATATATATATATTTCTATGATTATAAATATCTTTACCAATTATTGACACTTTTTTTGGTCAAAGATGGTGTAACGCCCAAGATTTTGTAATATCGTTTAATTATTAAAGTATATATATATATATATATATATATATATATATATATATATATATATATATATATCTGTGTGTCTGTGTGTGTGTGTGTGGATTTCCTTATGAGGTGTGTTGATTGACATGAGTATGATTAATGCTTGTGAGTAATGATGTGGATTGAGACTAGACTGAGATGATTATTTATATACATATATGTGTGGGTGTGTGTATGTGGGCTAAGTGTGGATGGTGCTGCAGGGTATTCTCGTTGTAGCGAGAGGTCCCTCGCTGTAGCGACAAAGCCACAGTTTGGGATACATTTCTGGGTGCAGTCTCACTGTAGCGAGATTCTGCAAAAACCAGAATGCAGTTTTGTTTGAGTATTTCGTTGTAGCGGGAGAGGGTGTCGCTGCAGCGAGACTATAGCGAGAGTGTCACGACCAGAGAGGATTTAAAGGGAGTTAGGGTTCAAGAAATGTTATTTTTCACCTTCCCTTCAAAATTTCTTCGATTCTCTCGACCCACAACCCTATTCCACTTATTAAATTACCTCCAAAGTTGTTCGAAAGCTAGATTGAAGGTTGGATTCGAGTTGGGAACGCTTGGAGGTGAGTTTTAATGGTTAGGATTTTCGTTTTTCATCCACTTTCTATGTTTTTGTGATTTTCTTGGGTTCTCATGGAATTCTTCCGTGTATTTAGGATGAAGTCTGTGATTTTCTTTGGGTTTGATTGTCGTATATTTTGATGAATATTGTAATGTGGTTGAGATAGAAGATAGGAAATATGTATTTAATGGAATTTGCTGTGTGTTGTGAGGTGTGATAGCATGTGGAAACCCGTAATGGGTGATTGTGTGATGTGAGTATGCTAATACTTGATGAATGAGGAATGTAAATGTGAACTATGTTGAAAATATTGTGTGTGTGGTTGAAATGAATTATGTTGTAAATGCGTGTAGGCACTTGTGCTGCGTATTGAGAACGATTATTGCAAATAAGTGTGGGGCCAAGGGCCGTGTAATATGAATAAATGTTGGCTTTATGTCGTGTACTGTAAAACGAATGAGGGTCTAGTGCTATGTATTATGCATGACTATAGGCTTTATGCCGTATACTGAGAATGAATATTGCAATGTGTGAATGTGGCGTGATTAACGCCGGTGTAACGTGCTGTGAATGGTTCAGCGATACACTGAGGGTGTGAAAGATGAGGATGGTAGAAATACCTTGGGGAAGAGGAAGTGGTGGTGACACCGACTGTGGGAGCAGATGCATTACGGGCCACACACTCTCTTCCTAACTAGACCTCTGACCATTAACTTTGCTGAGCGACCTGTGACTGCCCACGTGGTATCTGTGAGGCAGGGGTAACTGGCGACCATCCATAGTAAGAATCTGTGATATGTGATCATAGTGCCACAGTGAGCGTGGTTGCGTGCAGTGAGTGCGCTCGTGTATGGATGTTTTGGTGCCATAAGTGCATCGGTTATGAATAGAAATGAGATGCGTGATAATGTTGTCTGTGATTATATTGTGTGAGGTGTATTAGAAATAATGTAAATTATGTGCAAGGTGAGACTCTATACTTGTTTGTATATTTCGTAGTGTAGAGTACTTATCATTACATTTATTTTTTAGATAATCAAAACGATTAGCAGCAGACTCAGTGAAGGGTTGGA